ACTGGCACAGATCACTTTCTTGAGGTAATATAATCTCTACTCCTGCTCCTGCCCATTTTTTGACCCCAGTGGGTCAACTTTTCACCCAGAGGACACAAGGCAACACACTGCTTTCCAACCCACAGGCCCAACATYTCATGTCACTAGACATGCTGAGATGCTGCAAATTCTTGTTAAGAGCTATTGATGCTTGAAAAGRYTTAGAAATAAAACTCTATAGACCGGTATCTATAGAGCWGGTATTTGTTCWTTGTAGTGCTGGAGGTGAGGGGGGTTTCTTTTCTTAACTTGTTTTTTCTTTAAATTGGCACATATTTATRTAGTAAGCATGGTGTAACATGAATATTGATTATTAGATCACTGAGACTTTGAGTTTTGCTAAACTAACCCTGGTAAGCTTCAATGAATAAAGCCTGGGGGACTTAAAAGCATGACACTTGGGACCCAAAATTTATGGCCCTCCAAGGACATGTTTGAGTAACCAGAAGATTAAGAAGAGACGAACAAAGTTGATCCAACAYGTGCTGGTGTTTTGCCAGAAGGCAAGGTCAGCACCAAAGACACAGACACCAACTTTAAGTGTAATTTACTGTAGTGGAAAACTGCAAAGAATTGCAACGGATAAGCTAAGTAATGCACMTAATCATTACWACGAAAGATTGCCTGTAGTGAKTAAGAAAGATTTATCACCAACTACTCTAATATTTTACCATCACCCAGATCTGCACATCAGTCAGGGAGCCCTGATCACGACCAAGGATTTGGAGAATCAGTCCTGGTAACCGGGAAGTTGTATGTGCCCACCCATAGGCAAGTCTTTCATTTTCGCTATGAGTGGGCCCAGCTTTTGTATTGCTGAATAAACAAGCTAACGTAACTTCTTGTGCAGAAACATCTGGTTCATCCTTCTCTTGGGTTCCTCCCAAAGCYTGCCAGGGCTAAAGGAGGAACCAATGGAGTTGGCTTTGACCATATACCTCCAAACAAGGCCAGATATCTGATTTCATGGCCTTGTCSGGCTTCTAAATATGGAAAAGTAAACATATTCTTCTTTTAATTCTCYCTTCTCAGAATTTTTGAGCAACTTAAAATCAAAAAGGTTTGTTAAGTTGAATATTTGTTGAGTGGGAAGGGTAGGCAAGGCCAGTCAAAGGATTGGTAGGTAAGGCAAGGAAGGTGTAGGGAAGGCAAAGGAGGGGTAGTCAGGCTGAAACTGTCTTCTCCCCCACAGGGATGCCTATTGGATGCTCCCGCGCTAATTGTGCCAGGACAGCAAAGCTCTTAATTTTTGCCTGCGCATTATCAGCCCTCATAAAACCACCACACGATGGTGATGTTGTCTTGCAAAAGAAGGAAATGCACTTTGCCTTTCTCTAAATCGCCCAAATCGCAGATGCTGGTTGAAAATCTCACTGCTTTCAAATTAACTGCATCATAACACAAAGAGTTTGCTGTTCTTCCCCTTCCAAGCTGCTCTGGTTTAGAACGCTGGCCAAAAGCCAGGCACCCACAACACCTGCTCACTCGCTCTTCCCCACCACCACTGGGCAGAGAAGAGTGAAGGAAAAAAAAATAGCAAAAGGGATCATGAGTTGAGATAAGGAACAGGGAGGAAACACTTTGACGGGCAAAACAGGCTCCACTTAAGTTACAAAGTGAATTTATGACTAATAAAGTCAGAGGAGGAGAATGAGAAATAAAACCCTCAAAGACACTGATCTTCTCCCCACTCCCTCCCCCTTTCCCACCGACAGTACAAAGCAGCGGGGGGTGAACAGGGTGTGGGGTTGGTCAGTTCATCACCGGATCGGCTGCGGCTGCTGAGGGAGAGGAGTCCTTCCCTTGCGTTGCCGTGGGGTCCCTCCCACAGGAGACAGTTCTCTGTGAACCTCTCCGGCGCGGTTCCACTCTCATGAGCAGCAGCCCACACACATCTGCTGCAGCGTGAGTTCCCCCACGGGCAGACAGTCGTCTCAAAACTGCTGCACTGTGGGGTCCCTCGTCCCCTGGGTGCAGTCCCAAGGCCAGGCTGTTCCATCTCAGGAGCTAAGCCTCTCTCTCCATGGGTCTCCTGCTGGACACAGCCCCTGCTCGGCATCCGCCTGCTCCAGTGTGGGGACCTCCCTCCTCCATGGGCTGCGGGTGGATCTCTGCACCCTCTGTGAACCCCATGGGCTGCAGGGGGACAGCCTGCTCCACCATGGTCACCATGGGGACAGGGGGACAGCCTGCTCCACCATGGTCACCATGGGCTGCAGGGGACAGCCTGCTCCACCATGGTCACCGTGGGCTGCAGGGGGACAGCCTGCTCCACCATGGTCATCACCACAGCCTGCAAAGGAATCCCAGCTACGGCCCCTGGAGCAGCATGTCTCTCTCCTCCACTGGCCTTCCTGTCTGCATCCCTCACGTACTCTCACCTCCTTCTCCTCCTCTGGCAAAACCACTGTGGCTACTACCTTTGTTTTGATTTTTTTCTTAAATATGTTGATACAAGGCAATGCAATCGAAGTGCAAGCAATTCTAGGCAAGTCAAGGCAGTGGTAGGRAAGGCAAGGCAAAGAACCAYGAGGAGAAAGCAAAGCAAGACTATGGACTAGAAGGCAAGGAAAGGCAATGGAAGCACAAGGAGGGGTCCATAAGGAAATGCAAGGTTCGACAAGGCAAGAGAAGGCAAGAGAAATGATAAGGAGTTATGGGAGAAATGGTCAGGAGGAACAAGAAATGCAAGGTTGGAAGSAAGGGAAAGACTAGGCAAGAAAGTGGCAGGCAAGGTAAAGGAAGGTCAGGGAAGAAAAGAATACACAGGTCAAGAGAGAGGATAGGCATGCAAGGCATTGAAAGGAAAGGAGGATTAGCAAGACAGTGTTGGGTTTGCAAGACAGGACAACTTCAAGATAGGCATAGTARAATAAGACCATTTTTTCTATTGGTTTCTGTGTTMTTTAGATGGCCTGTCAATTGTCAGAACAAGTTCTCAGCAATATTTCTCTCCCTCAGGCTTTGTTCATTGAAGCAAATCAAGGTTGGTTTAGSAAAACTTCAAATTTCAATAATTGTCCCAAACTGTTCCAACAATAGCAGTCTGTGAAAAAAAACTTTACTACATGCTGGCTAAARTGGAAAACAATTAATTAAGAGTTARCCCCATTAATTAGAAAAAATAATTAGGAAAGTTCTGTAATTTCCATCTCTAGGAGGGTTTTTTTAAGGTGCTTGTATGRTGTTGGAGATGCTAGGAGGAGTTTCAGTGGTGTTAAAGTAGATTTAGAGGGTGCTGGGARGGATTGATTTGGGAGTATAAATTGGCCTTTCAGTGGTGCTGGGTGARGTTTGAGGTTCTAAAGAGGAGCTATAGCTGGCTAAAATGGTTTTGGATGATGTTGGGAAGGTTTGAACATAGATTGGGGGAGCTGGAATGGTTTGGGGGTGCTGTGAGAGGATCTGGTGAGTGCAGTGAAGGGTTTGATGGTTCTAAGGRGTGCTCCCCACACAGTTCCCCTAGAGGCCCCCTAGGTCTGGGAGGGAAAAGTCTCAGGATTTGGGGGCACCTCTGGGAGTCACCCCAACTGGTTCATCACCCTCTTTCCCCTTGCATTTCCCACCCTTTCTCCCTCATKTTTCCTGGTCTTTTCCCCTCACGCTTTCACCCCTTAATTTAAGGCCTTAAGATAGTGTCAAAGGGTTTTTTTTTCAATGACTTAATTCTTAAAATAACAGAGAAGGAGGCTTCCCCCTCAATTCAAAGCCTTTTGTCCCTGAACTCCCTCCTTTTTCTGGCATCACTGGGATATACTGGGAGGGACTGAGGAGAGACAGAGCACTGGGAAAACCACACTCAGATTTTAACAAAACTTTTATTTAATTCCAGAATTTCCTCAGTTTTGGGGTTTCCACTCCCATTTAACATTCTTCACCCCAACTCAAACAGTTTGGAGGAGATCCCCCTCATCAGCAGCCCCCATTAATGAGACTGGGGGTGAAGGGCTCTACTGCCCCTTCCTCCACCAAACCAATGTGGTTCAGACWCATTTCACAGAAATTTTGGGGCAATTTCATTGAAATCAGGAAAAATTAACATRGCAGAGGGAAATCCCCCAATATGGGGGTGTCCCCCCATTCGTACCAGGAGACCCAGCCCCTTTGGCATCACTCAGTGGTCGGGGGTGGACGACGGSATCCTCGGCGAGTCCTCAGCAGGAGGCGGAGCTGTGGGGGTGGGAGGGATTAAGGAGGTCCCCAAATCCCGGGGTTTGACCCCAGAATACAGGGATCTTACCCAAAGATCTTGGGATGGGACCCCATGGTTTGGGAGGGTTGTGAAAATGTGGGGGTAAACCAGCAGGACTTTGGGATAAAGCAGCAATATTTTGGAGTACAATAGCAGAACTTTTGGGCATTACAGCAGGATTTTGGGGTAAAGCAGAGGGATTTGGGGTAAAGCAGTGGGATTTGGGGTAAAGCAGCGGGATATCATAAAAACATAAGAGTATATTGAGTAGGAAAAGACTTATCAGGGTCATGAAGTCCACCTCCTGGCCCTGCACAGAACACCCCAAGAATCMCATAATTTGCCTGAGAGCATTGTCCAAAATGCTTCTTGAACTCAGAGTGGCTTAGTGCTGTCACCACTTCCCTGAGGAGCCTGTTCCAGTGCCTGACTACCCTTTGGGTGAAAAACCTTTTCCTGATATCCAACYTAAACMTCCCCTGACTTGGCTCCAGYTGTTTCCTCAAGTCCTGTTACTGGTCATAGGAGTGAAGAGATCAGTACCTGCCCCTCCACTATCCCTCGGGAGGRTGATRAAGACCCAAATGYGGTCTGACCTCAGTCTTCTCWTCTCCAAGCTGAACAAACACTTGCCTCAGCCACTCCTCATAAGGCTTCCCCTWCAGACCCTTTCCCATTCTCATGGCCCWCCTTTGGATGYTCTCCTATAACTTAATGTCTTTTTTATATTGTGGTGCCAAAAACTGCACACACTATTCAAGGTGAGGCCACCCCAGTGCAGAGCAGAGCAGGACAATCACATYCTTTGRCTGGCAAAGCTGTGCCTGATGCCCCCCAGGACAGGGATGTCCCTCCTGGCTGCCAGGGCACTGCTGACTCAGATACAATTWGCCATCAATCAGGACCCCCAGGTCMCTTCCCACAGCACCACTCTCCAGTCTATCGTACCCCAGTCTGTCTGTACTTACAGGGTTGCCCCAWCCCASCWGCACTTGCCCTTGTTAAATTTGATACAATGGATCATTACCCATCTCTTTAGTTTGTCAAGGTCTCTCTGCCCTCAAGAGTTCATAGCTCTTCCAATTTAGTGCTGTCAACCAACTCAATATCCCTTCAAGTCATGTGTCTAAGTTGTTAATGAAGATGTGTTAAAGAGAACTGGGCCAAGGACTGAGCCCTCGGAACCCCAGCAGTGACTGGATGCCAGTTGGTTCCTGATGGAACCTCACTCACTGTAACTCTTTGAAACGGACCTGTGAGCCAATTGCTGACCCATGGCATGATTTGATAATCCAGCTGTGGGCTGGACTGTTTGTCCTGAAGGACACTATGAGAGATGATATCAAAATCTTTGCTGAATTCCAAAAAGATTCCAGCTACTGGCTTTCCTAAATCAATTAGATGGGTTACCCTGTTGTAGAAGGAAATCAGGTTCAAAAAGCAGGACTTTCCCATCATAAAGCCACGATGGCTATGACTGATATGGGGTAAACAGGATCTGGGGTACAGCAGCAGAATTTGGAGACATAGCAGCAGGGATTTAGAGCAAAACAGTGGGATTTKGGGGTTCCAGGAGTAATTTCGGAAGTTTTAGGGTGCAGTGGGGTGCTAGGGATGGTGCTGGGTGTGAGGTCTCACCTGGTCTCCGAGAGACCCAGSGGGCAGCAGGGCCTGGGGCAGTTCGTGCTCCAGGTTGCGGGCGCTGGGATCAGCCCCCCAGGCCAGGAGCAGCCTCACGAGGGGCTCCTGGCTGGGGGTCCCAGGGAGTGCTGCTGCCATGTGCAGGGGGGTGTTCCCGTGGGCCTGAGGGACATAAAGGGGCTCAGGACACCCACAAGTGAACCTCCAGCTCCCCTAGAGGTACCTCAGAGACCCTCAAGACTGGATACCAATACTTCCAGCCCCCCAGACTCTCCACAGACACCCCAAAGCCCCCAGTGCCCTTTTGATTCCTCTGAAACTCCCAGAGCTCCTTCATCCCCCCAGAGCCACTAGAGCAACCCCAAAGGCCTCCAAAGAGCTCCACAGACCCTTCCAATTGGCCCCAGAGGCCCCAAGCGCTCCCCAGAGGTCCCCCAACCCCAAGTGCCCCACAAAGCCCTAGGGGGAACCCAGAGCACCCCATAGAGCCCCCCAAAGCTCCCCCCAGCCCCACAAGCCCCTCACACCTTCATGTTGACAAGGYGGGGGGCCATGCCAGGCTGGCGCAGCAGCAGGTGGGCCAGGGCGAGGTTGCCTCCCCGCACGGCCAAGTGCAGAGGGGTCAAACTGCTTTTGGTGTCCTGAGAGCAAGACAGGGGTCAGC